CGTCGTTCCACCTTGGCGGCGCTAGGCAGAATTCTGCGCGTAGCCACTTACACCGCGGGCGCTAGTCGAAAAGGGGCAGAGGGCTTCTGCAGAGAGGACCTTTGTCGCCATCTCCTTTACGCATATCCTGAGCTTCGAGGCGCGAGGCGGAGCTCGCGTGCGCCGCGCTGCTCTGGGCCGGGGTCGAGGACGGTGCGACGTCGAGAGCCGAGACTGAGAGGGCCATCCGCCCGGGGCTCGCTGCCCGAGCCGTCCGAGGAGGGCGACGGCGACGGCAGTGGCGACGCCACCGCCCCGCCTCAGAGCACGCGGGGAAACCGCGCGACGGGCGGCTCCGCGCCTCCCCCACTTCTTCGGAAAATTCCGAAAGAATTTGCTGCACTGATTATACGGAGTTGCTGTTTCGCAAGTCGAAGAAACTGATAGACCTAGATGACAACCGAAGCACTGCGAAAGAAGAGGATCTTGTGATGACAATGACATTGAGAAACTAAATTAAAAAAGAAGTAATAAAGAAAGTTCAGCTCAATAGCCATATCTAATTATAATCGCAAATGCCTACAATTTTCAGTGGGCGAAGCATTTTTGGAAGACATCCGAAGTTAAATTTTCCTAAATATTGTCTTCTGACACAAGTGATGAGGAGAAAGTAGAAAACGTCGACATTAAGATGTCTGATGTGACATTAGCTTACTAATAGTCATCATATGTGAATAATTTAATCGCTTGTTAAATGATAAAAGGTGATACGAAGAAATATTGCACGAGTAGCGTGGAATGTGTGAAGTAAATGAACTTAATAGAAGATTTTTTTTATATTTACACTGTGTCTTGACGCAGTAAAAGTTGTTATAATCAAAAAAAATATTTTATTTGGTTTGCACGTACATAATACAATTACATTAGAAGTATGGTTGAACATCTGTTGTCTTGGAGTATACCATTGCACTCTCATTTATAAAGTAATACTAAGTATAAATCTTGCATTGGAAAGAAGTGAATCTGTTCAGTTCTGGGAAAAGCCCGAGTTAGCTATAGAAACGGTTAAGAACGGAACAGTACTTAAACAACGTAGGTTATGTGTCGCAGTTTCTCCCATTTCCAGTTGGTATATTTAAAATGCACGAGATTTCAGTGCTCCTTCCGTACGGAGGACTGAAACACTCATCGTGGGAATTGTTTAGAATAAAATAAGTACAAATGAAGATGAATACCCCTGTGGAACCTTTTATTTGGAGTTTCTTGAAAAGAGCACTGTTTCAATGAAAGAGGAGGATTGTTCATACGAATATCTGAGAAGAATGATGCGATAAGAGGAATAAAACACTTTAATTTCAGAAGAAACAATCCATTTGTAGCGGATGCTATTTATTAGGGCATTCTATATGGCGAAGAATAACAATGATT